GTTTTATTTTATTTTAAATTGTATGAGAAGGTTTTTTGTTGGGGGTGCAGAGTAAATGGTAAACATGTAATGCCTTGTCATTCAACTATCATCACTTGGAAAAGCAGCCTTCTCTGTACTGTTGCTTTTTCTAAATACAGTATCTGCTTTGAAGGACAAAGAATTTGAACTTGACTCAGCACATGGACATACAAGTTGATCTTATGTAAAACCTGAAACACAGGGAAACCTACATTATCTAGAATTGTTACCTTATTTTATCCATAGATTTCTCGATCTCAATCAGCTTGTCACATCCTTGTTTTTCCTCTTTTCCTGCCCATTAGGGGCCGGCACTGGGCATTCATGGTTTTAAGACTATTCTGGCTGAACTTGTACTAATATAGCAACCTTATTTGCAGCTTTGTATTTGGAGCATTGATACATGGGAAAAGAGGAAATCAGTTCCAATACAACTGCCTGCTGGGAAGGCTCCTAATGGTGACACTCGAGTGCTGTTTCACTCTGATCAGATCCGCTTGCTGGTATCCCATGAAACACAGTTAGCAATATATGATGCTTCCAAGATGGATCGTATTCGTCAGGTAGAAAGTAAACCTAAGTAACTGGTATTGAGATAGCCTATAACAATTTTAAACTTATGATGGTATTTTTTCTTGCAGTGGGTCCCGCAAGATGTCCTCCCATCACCTATTTCCTATGCAGCATACTCTTGCAACAGTCAACTAGTTTTTACTTCCTTCTGTGATGGTAATGTTGGGGTATTTGATGCAGATAGCTTGAGACTTAGATGCCGTATTGGCCCATCTGTATACTTGCCCCCAGCAGTGTTAAATGGGTAAGGCATCAGGGCCTGTTCCTGAACTTTTACTTTCATGAAGATGTGAAATTTATAAATGGGGCAAAGTGGGTTTTTAAAGGTGTTAGATCACGTGTACGGCCATTCCAAACTCTCAAATAAGCTTAATTACCCTAGTGCCCATTTCTTTTCTCTTCATACAAGTCCTAGTGTCTTAATTTTTTATTTTATTTTATTTTATTTTTTGGTAAAGTAAACCTTGTGTCGAAGTTGTCTTAATAGTGAAGTGATGTAGGACAAGTAGGGGGTTACTCTCCTACTAGTAGTGAACCCAAAATTAATATATGCGGCTGAAGACCCTAGGCTTTTGGGACTGAGTTTAATTGGGTTTTATGGTGGAATGGCTAATAAAACATAGAGGGTTTGTATGGGGTAACAAAAAGGTAGGCTTTTGGGGTAAATTATATAGGGAAAGGGAATGAAATTTGGGGATGTTCTAGGTGCAGTGAACAAAACCTGAAACATTATATATATATTGCTTTTAGACTGTTTTATGTGATCTAGTGTAAGGGAATTAGGATGTGAAGGTTTAAGCTTGGAGAATAGGATGTAAAAATTGAAGAGGAACAAATCTGGTTACTAATCGAAAAAGGAAAAGAAAGAGAGAAGTGTGGTTGTGCTGTTAAAATATATAGAATTCAACAAAGGAAGAAGAAGAAAGTTCTAGGAATCACTCCTAAAGGTCGGTCTTTATCCCTTAACTGCATGGAACCCAGAAAAATCTATCCCTATTGTTCTTCATCTTCTGTCTCGTACGTATTCATTCTAGATTTGATTCTTAAAAGTTACAAGCTTTTAGCATTGTTGATCTGATGCAATACTGAACCCTCCGATGGGATATGTTGCAGAAGCCAAGCCGTGTATCCATATGTTGTTGCAGCGCACCCGCAGGAGCCCAACCAATTTGCTATTGGGTTGACAGATGGGTCTGTTAAAGTTATGGAACCCTTGGAATCAGAGGGCAAGTGGGGACTTGCTCCACCTGTTGATAACGGGATGCTAAATGGTAGGCCAGCATCGTCGTCCACCACAAGCAATCACACACCCGATCAGGTTCAACGGTGAAATTTCTTGTATTTAAGATCTGCATACCATACCCACCTGTATTTTACCATTGTAGATTTTAGGTTAGTCCTCCCTCGTGTCCCCTTATCAAATGTATGACTTGGAGTTGGTGTTTAGTTAGGTAAAGTATTGCATGCTTTAGTTAGGTCGACTAATATTAATTGTTTCTTTCAGCACCCTTTGTTTTTAAAATCAGTTTGTATGTAAATTTTTTCCCTCCCTTCAGGTGAATGCCTGTTTTGGGAGTGACATTTTAACATTGCTTTAGTTTTTCTGTGATAATGGTGGAGAAGAAATGATACTATGAAAGAACTTCATCATGATATTGACTTGTTTCTCGCAAACACTAAAAATGCAATGGTCGTAATGATCCAACACATATATGCTTTTCATCTTACGGATATATGAAATTTGACGTGTTATTTGTGTATATTGTGCTTGAACCAAGCCAAATTATACGATTTCACCCACATCCATCCTTGTGCCTGTTCTATTGCTTCTTTGTCTGTTTGCTGACTTTCTAATTTACTGATGAACTTAAGGCCCCGTTTGTTTTGGGGTGTAATGGATGGGAGGGGATTAGGATGGATGTGGGGTTTAGTGTAGTGTTTGTTTGTAGAGTTGGGGAGGGGATTAGGATGGTGGAAGTGATATACATGGAGGTTGGGAAGGGGATTGAGATGGAGGTTGGGGAGATGGTATTAGAAAAATAGTGAAGGGATTAGAAAGTTTTTTATTTTTTATATATTGGGAATTTTTTATAAATATTAATGTTTAATTTTTTTATATTTTTTTATTTGTTTTATTATTTTATATAAAAATAATTTAACAATTCTTACACTAACAACTATCATCAAAACAAACACAATTTTACTTAATCCCCTCACTATCAACCCCTTCACTAACAATCCCCTCACTATTAATCCCCTCCATTCTACCTCTGAAAACAAACGGAGCCTAAGTAAAGATAGGTTTGAATTAAACGTAAGTATTTTAGCAAGTTGTAATTAATATAGGATAAATTTCAGGATGGTTCGGGTATTCTTTTATAAAAATATTAGAGATTCTAAAATTTCTACCAAATATCTTACATAGATGTAGGACTTATATGATATTGACATTGTGTGGGTCTCACACCCATGTGAGAGCATATTAGAAGATTAATCGGCCAAAATAACCATAAGCAACTACGATATTATAAGTTTCTTCCTCTTGACCGAATATGTAACCTTCATTAGCAAATTCATTTTCTGTGGTTTCCCTAATCAAACTAGAAGTTAGCAAGGAACCATGCATAGCACTGAATAGGGAGCCGTCAAATACACCAACTACACCTAATATATAAAATGGGTGCATAAGGATGTTGTGCTCAGCCTGGAATACAATCATGAAGTTGAAAGTACTGGATATGCCTAGAGGCATACCATTAGAAAAACTTTCTTGACCGATTGAATAGATCAAGAAAACAGCAGTAACAACTGCTATTGGAAAATGGCTTTTGTTATTTTTTGCCAACTTTGAACATTAATTAAGGTGAGACCAAGCGTTATTTTTAATGTTTATAATTGGGTTCATGTTTAATGTTGCGTAGTGAATAAATTCATGTATTTAGTTGCTCAAAACCATTTCCGGATGAATGAGAATTCAACGCGCATTTTTTGGTTTGTGGAAATGTATTTTGGTGGGTTTACTACACATTTGTGAAATGTGCTTGTCCCATATTGGAAATGCTTGAGGAATTGTTTGGGCTTATAAACCTTAGCATTGGATACTTGGGATGGGTTCCAAGGGATACCCAAGTTTGTGGAAGGGTAATGTTATGGGTGAAGTGGGCTAGACCCATTAGATCCAAAATTAAAACCACGCGCGTGTCGCCGCCCTTCCGGTCGATCGGGCGGCTGGGTTGGGCGTGGGTGCATGGTGTGAGGTTGGGTTGGGCTTGTTCGACCCAATAATTATCTTTTTTTACCAAAAACTTTTGTACTTTATTTATTTATTTTTAATTTTGATTTCAAAATTCAACAGGAAGTTAGTCCAGATTTTTTTCCTAACCCGAACAGGTTTATACCTGTTCATTCCAAAACCAGACAGATCTGTATCTGTTCAAATAGTTCAAACAGATCTGTTCAAACAGTCCAAACAGGTCAAGTTTTTGGTTATTGAATCTATCCGAACAGGTTCATTTATGTTGGCACCTGTTCGGAAAAGTCATTTCCACTTTTATAAATAGTTGGCCATCCAGCAATTCTTTTAATCAAGTTTTTTGAGAGCATTTTTTCATTTCTCCTTCAAGTCGTCCTCTTGTCTTTCTACTTTTTTCTGTTTTTAATTTTAGAAAGAAAAAATAAATAGTTACAACATAATTTTGGTTTTCAAGGCTTGGTTTTATAGTGCTGCAAAATTCAAGTGTTAGTCGTTGCTTCCTGGGAAATAGGCGCCGATAAAACTCGAAAGAACGAAGCGAGGGAGAAATCTACTTTAAGGAGATTGTGTCCAACACAAGTCTCGACATTTTTTTCTTGTAAGCTTTTAATTCGGAAAATAATTTATATATATATATATTTGAATTATTTTATTTTATTGTTTATTTAATTTACACTCATACACCTTTGTGGATATAACAATTTTAAAGTAGATTTTTTTATTTTTATTTATTTATGTGATAGACAGACAAGTATTTTGTTTCGGGAAATTAAATAGTAGTAATATACTGTTTATCATTAGAATCTTGTTACAGAATATTATTCTATTTATTTTGTGTGTAAATTCTTTTGTATATAAATTTGTGATTGATGTATTATTTTTATTTCGTCAGAATTATGACAACAGAAACTAACAGTACTGAGACTGTTAGTACTTAAACCCCCACACCTGTTGTGCTAGTGATGACTCCGGCAGTACCGGTAAATCATGGGAAGAAGCCAGAAAAATTCAATGGCAATGATTTTAAAAGATGGCAACAAAAAATGATATTTTATCTTACAACATTGAATTTGACTCGCTTCACTCATGAAAAAGCCCCGGCACTGAACGAGGGAGAGACTGACCGGCAAGTGGTTGCCGCAATCAATGCATGGAAACATGATGATTTTCTATGTCGGAATTATATCCTCAATGGGTTGGATGATACACTGTATAATGTGTATAATGTTAAAAGCACTGCTAAAGAACTATGGGAATCTCTGGATCATAAGACATAGAACGCCGGTACAAAGAAATTTATTGTTGGCGGTTTTCTAGATTTTAAAATGATAGATTTCCAAGACGGTTATTAGTCAGGTTCAAGATCTCCAATTAATTCTCCATGACATACATACGGAATGGATGGTTCTCAGTGAATCTTTTCAGGTTGCGGCAATCATTGAAAAATTGCCACCATCCTAGAAAAAATTCAAAAATTATCTAAAGCATAAGCGTAAGGAGATGAAATTGGAGAAACTGGTAGTGTAGTTCCGAATTGAAGAGGATAACCGTGGTTCCGACAAGAAGTCAGGAAACCATGTCATGCAGGCTAAAACAAATGTTGTGGAAAATGGACAAGGGTCAAAGTTCAACAACAAAAAGCGAAGCATAATAGCAATGGTCCCAAACAAGGATCCACTAGTAAGATCAACAACGGGTTCAACAAGAGATTCAAAGGCAAGTGTTTTGTGTGCGGCAAAGATGGATATCGTGCTAAGGATTGTCACATTCGCAAGGACGGATGAAGTTCAAGCAGAAACCCAGCACAAGCCAACATAGTAGAGGATTTTTATCTTTTCGATGGCGTGGCAGACATCAATCTTGCTGTAGTAGTCTCTGAAGCAAATTTGGTAAGCAATCTCAAGGAATAGTGGGTGGATATTGGAGCAACCCGCCATATCTGTGCAAATAAGAAGACGTTCACAACCTACAAAGTGGTGAAAAGTGGGGAACAACTTTTTATGAGAAACTCCTCTACATCAACTGTAGAAGGACAATGAAAGATTGTGCTAAATCGACCTCGGGGAAAGAACTCTCTCAACAATGTACTCCATGTGCCAAAGATTCGCAAGAATTTAACTTCTGGGTCATTGTTGATCAAGAATGGGTTTAAATTAGTCTTTGAATCTGATAAAGTTGTACTCTCCAAAAGTGGAAGTATGTGGGGCTAGGTTACATGAGTGATGGGCTTTTTAAGCTCAATGTAAATATTGTTGTACCTAATTTGGCTTTTAATAATAAGAACACACCTTTTGTTTATATTGTCGAGTCTTCTTTTTTATGGCATAGTAGATTAGGACATGTTAATTTTAATTCTTTGCATAGACTTGTTGCTTTAGAATGTTTACCAAACTTAGAATTTGATCCTAATCATAAATGTGAGATTTGTGTTGAGGAAAAACTCACTAAGGCATCATTTAATAAAGTTAAAAGAAGTACTGAACCTCTAAGTTTAATTCACACAAATATCTGTGATTTAAATTTTGTTCAAACTAGAAGAGGTAATAAGTACTTTATTACCTTTATTGATGATTGCACTCGATATTGCTATGTTTACTTATTGAGAAGTAAAGATGAAGCCGTAGAAGCTTTTAGGCAATATAAACTTGAGGTTGAAAATCAACTTGGCAAAACTATAAAGATAGTGACGAGTGATAGAGGTGGTGAGTATGATGCACCATTTGAAGAATTTTGTTCTGAACATGGTATCATTCACCAAACCACTGCATCGTATTCTTCTCAATCAAATGGAGTTGCTGAGAGAAAGAATTATACTCTTAAAGAGATGATGAATGCCATGTTGATTAGTTTAGGGTTACCTCAGAACTTGTGGGGGGAGGCAATTTTGTCTGCTAACTTTATCCTGAATAGGGTACCCCACAAGAAACTCAATCAAACACCTTATGAATTATGGAAAGGTCGACGACCTACCTACAATTACCTCAAAGTGTGGAGGGGGTTTGGCCAAGGTGGCAGTCCTTAGTCCCAAACAACTAAGATAAGACCAAAAACCATTGATTGTGTGTTCATTGGTTATGCAAATAATAGTAGTGCATATAGATTTTTAGTTCATATATCTGAAAATCCTAATATGCATGTAAACCCAATTATTGAGTCAAGGAATGAATTGTTTTTTGAACACATTTTTCCTTGTAAAGAAACTGAAGAGATAAATTCAAATAAAAGAACTTTTGATACTGCTATTGGTAGCAGTGAAGACCACAATGATAATGAATCAGATGAACCTAGACATAGCAAGAGGGCTAAGATCTCTAAATCATTTTGGTCCAGATTTTCTAACATACCTGTTAGAAAATGAGCCTCAAAACTTTAAGGAAACAATGTCAAGTCCTGAAGCTCC